CAGAGACATGGAAGCATGGAACAAACTGAGGAATCTCAGAGGGAAGTTGGGGTGGGGTGGGGTGGGGGTGGGGAGTGGGAGTTGGGTGGAAGGGGTCAATGGCGGGGGGGGGAGAGAGAGGAAGGGACATCTGTAATATTTTCAACAATAAAGGTAAATTTAAAAAATAGTAAAAATGTAGCTGGAAAAAAATTAAGGCCTCTTACCTTAAAATAGGGAGGCCTGGAATTCCAAGTGAAACTCACCCAAGTCCACTCAATGCAAAACGGGGGGCACAATAGCCCCCTTGCTGGATACCAGCACTGGGTCTGGGTCCACGGGGTGGTCTTCGGAATCCTGCCACACTACGCCAAGTAAATGTCAGTGTAAGAAACATTCAAACCTATAAAGAATTTTTTGTGAGTTTTTTTTTGAGCCAAACTGATAAAAAATTGCCAGGAAGCAAAATCTCAATGGATTGGGAAAATACTCCAGAGAATGGCAGTTTTGCACCTTATTTTATATATTACAACCCAAAGAGGAGGCATAAGTGGGTTACATGAAATCCATTGGTGATAGATTAGGGAGGCGGGAGAAAGCAAAGTGGAGAGGATGGAGGGTGGGGAGGAAGAAAGCAGCTTCTGGGATTAGATAAAAAGTAAAATGATAGACACATACTTCTCTTACATAATTAACAATTAACACGAAAACAATAACAATGAGAGGATTTGTGGTTGGGCGGGGTGTGGTCCGGATAAAGGGAAGTTACCCTACATTCCAAACATGTGTTATGGTGATGTAAAAAGACAATAGGCTCAATTAAGGTGAAGATTCCGTCAGGGAAGATTCTAGCTAGGACATGACTGCCTGCCACAATAAAAAAATTTCTATTGTTGACATTATTACAGATGTCTCCCATTTTCTCCCTTTTTGCCCCCTCAATTCCCCAGGCCTTCCCCTTGCTATTGTCTGTGTCCATGGGCTATGCTTATATATGCATATATGATTTTTGGTTAATCTCTTCCTGCCCCCCACACCACATGCGCGCTCGCGCGCGCGCGCACACACACACACACACACACACACACACACACACTCAGATCTGTTATTCTGTTCCACGCATCCATACCTCTGGACCTATTTTGTTCATCAGTTTCGTTTGTTCTTTAGGTTCCACTTATAAATGAGATCATGTGATATTTGTCTTTCTCTAACTGGCTTATTTCACTTAGCATAGTACTCTCCAGGTCCATCCATGTTGTCTCAAAGAGTAAGAAATCCTTTTTTTTACAGCTTCTCAGTATTCCAATGTGTGAATGCGCCACAGCTTTTTTATCCACTCATCTACTGATGGGCACTTGGGCTGCTTTCAAATCTTGGCTATTATAAATAACACTGCAATGAACATAGGAGTGTATATATTCTTTCTGATTGTTTTTTTGGGTTTCTTAATATATATTCCCAGAAGTGGGATCTCTGGGTCAAATTGCAGCTCCATTTAAAAATTTTTGAGGAACCTACATCCTGTTTTCTATAGTGGCTGCACCAATCTTCATTCCACCAACAGTGTATTAGGATTCCCTTTTCTCCACATCCTTGCCTGCACTGCTATTTGTTGATTTATTGATGGTAGCCATTCTGGCAGCTGTGAAGTGGTAACTTGCAGTTTTAATTTGCATCTCTCTGATGATTATTGACTTTGAGCATTTTTTTTATGTGTCTATTGACCATCTGTATGTCCTCTTTGGATAACTGTCCAGTTAGGTCCTTTGCCCATTTTTAAATTGGATTGTTTGTCTTCCTGGTGTTGATGTGTATCAGTTCTGTGTATTGTTTGGAAATTAAACCCTTATCAGATGTATCATTGATGAATATGTTTTCCCATACCGTAGGTTTCCTTTTCATTTTGTTGATAGTTTCTTTTGCTGTGCAGAAGCTTTTTTAGTTTGATGTAGTCCCATTTGTTAATTTTTTCACTTGTTTCCCTTGCCTAGGCATTGTGCCTGTGTAAATACTGCTACATGAGATGTCTGAGATTTTACTGCTTATGCTTTTCTTTTAGGATTTTTATGGTTTCACAACTTACATTAAAGTCTTTTATCCATTTTGAGATTATTCTTGTATATGGCTTAAGTTGATGGTCTAGTTCAGTGGTTGGCAAACTGCGGCTCAGCAAACCGCGGCTTGCAAGCCACATGCGGCTCTTTGGCCCCTTGAGTGTGGCTCTTCACAAATACGGCTCTTCCATTTCCATTAAAATACTGACTTCTGCACATGGGGCCACGAAAGTTTTCAATCACCCCTGGTTCGTGCGCGCCCGCACGTGGTATTTTGTGGAAGAGCCACACTCAAGGGGCCAAAGAGCCGCATGTGGCTCCCGAGCCGCGGTTTGCCGACCATGGGTCTAGTTTCATTTTTTTTTGCATGTACCTGTCCAATTTTCCCAACATCATTTATTGAAGAAACTGTCTTTACTCCATTGTATGCTCTTGCCTCCTCTGTCAAATATTAATTGAGCATAATGGCTTGGGTTGATTTCTGGGGTCTCTGTTCTGTTCCATTGACCTATATGCCTGTTCTTGTGCCAATACCAACCTGTTTTGATTACAATAGCTTTGTAGTATAGTTTGCTATCTGGTATTGTGATCCCTCCATCTTTGTTCTTCTTTCTCAAGATTGCTATTCAGGTTCTTTTTGGTTCCATATAAATTTTTGGAGTATTTGTTGTAGATCTGTGAAATATGCCAGTGGTATTTTAATAGGGTTTGTGTTGAATCTGTAGATTGTTCTGGGTAGTTTGGACATTTTAGTTATGTTAATTTTTCTTATCCATGAACATGGTACACTTCCACTTTTTTGTGTCTTCCTCTATTTCCCTTTTCAATGTTCTATAGTTTTCCGAGTACAGGTCTTTTACCTCCTTGGTTAACTTTATTCCTCGATATTTTTTATTGTTGTTGTTGCAATGGTAAATGGGATTTTTTTTTTAGTTTCTCTTTCTGAGGGTTCATTATTGGTGTATAAAAATGCCATTGATTTCCAGGTGTTAATTTTGTATCCTGCTACTTTGCAAATTTATTTATTATATATAACAGGGTGTTGTTGGGTTTTTTGGAGTCTTTAGGGTTTTCTATGTATAATATTATATCATTTGTGAATAATTACAGTTTTACTTCCTCCATTCCAATTTGGATGCCTTTTTATTTCTTCTTCATGTCTGATCTCTGTGGCTAGGACTTCCAGTGGAAAGAGTGGTGAAAGCAAACATCCTTGTCTTGTTTCTGACCTTAAGGAAAATGCTTTTAGTGTTTTCCCATTGAGTATGATGTTGGCTGTAGGTTTGTCATATAGACCATGCACTGCTTTTGGTTAAAAAGTTTTAAATTTCAGACCATCCTTTGTGGCTATTTTAGGTGTCTGAGTTTGTAAGGCCACGACCCAGGCCTCCCCTGAGCTTGTCAGGTTTAGTGTGTGGCCCCTTTTTGTCCACAGGTCTGTCCTGACTCTTGGCAGCATTGAATTGCAGTACACTCACCTGTTGTTGGCCAGTTGGGGTGGAAACAACACTTGCCTTCTGCCCCACACTGCCACACCCAGGTCTGTTTAGCTTTCCTTCTTTCCAGCCTCCCCCACTCACTCTTACCAAAACATTCCCCAAGGGGGGCAAATTACTTTGCCTTCAGTTTATCATAGGACAGATCTGCTGCTTTCATCTGCTCTGCCCAATACATTATCAGCTGTGAATGTATGGATTCAATATGTAAAGAATCCCTTTGGGGGACAGGTAATGAGTTTTAGATATAATGGTAAGTTTCAATTGTTCAGTTGTGTGAAAGTCACTAACAGATTATTGTAGTTAATAGCGTGAGATTGCATTTCATATATAGGTTAATGATTTGTGGGAGCCTGAGGAGGTTTCGAAATATATGCAATGTAATCTGATTTAAAATTATTACTGGAGAGGGAATGGAGAGTTATGGTTTAATGTATGTGTACAGAGTTTCAGGTTGGCAAAGATGTGAAGATGAAAAAGTTCTGGGGATGGATGGTGGTGATGTTTGCACAACAATGCGGATGTATTACTTAATGTCAGAGCTGTACACTTAAAAGTGGTTAAACTGTGCCTGGACAGTGTGGCTCAGTGGTTGAGCATCGACCTATGAACTAGGATGTCAAGTTCAATTCCCAGTCACATCACATGGTTGGGTTGTGGGCTGGACCCTACTGAGGTCATGCAGGAGGCAGCTGATCAATGATTCTCTCTCCTCATTGATATTTCCCTTTCTCTTCCTCTCTGAAATCAATAAAAAAATATGTACTTTTTTAAAGTGGTTAAAATGGTCAGTTTTATGTCATGTATGTTTTACTACAACAAAACATGATTGCTAAATTTCCAATTTTATTGAAAACTAAAATCAGTATTTTATTTATAACTATTTTCTTTTGATGAGGAGTTTTAAGGTTTGTCTCTTTTAGCAACTCTTAACCATACTGTTCATTACATCTACATTGTGGTGGGCAGTTAGACAGACATGAGCAGAGCAAGGACAACAACCATGTACAGAAGGTCACCAGGGTGGAAAGCCCCAGGTGCCTAGCAATGGGAAAAACTGGGAAAATCAGGACTTTGCCCTCAGGGTAGCCTTTCCTCCCCTAGCATATGGCTGGTCATGAGGTTTAGACCTCCTGACCTTTCGTATTGCTGGTCATGTGTTCGGAACCTCCTTTGACCTTTCCTCCCCTGGCATATTGCTAGTCATGTGGGTTAGACCCCCCCCGCCCACCACAACCTAGAGAGGGAATGAACAGGGGGGCCAGAGAATAGCCCTTAAGCATTAAGCCCCCAGGACATTGAGGTCTGACCCTCAGTAAATACATGTAGGCATCAGGTGTATTTCAGCTCCAGCATCATCCTTGCTTTGCTCATGTCTGTCTAACTGCCTACCACAGATCTAAATAGTGTCTGTTCCCACTTGCCAATGTGATGAAGTCCTTGGACATTTATGACATGTGTCTTTCAGAGGCTTTCTCAATGAAGTTTTCAAGAAAGGAGATCCGGATAGTTCCAGTTTCCGTCTCATGAGGGGAGAGATCATGTTTTCCCAGGTAAGGGACACCCTTGAGAAGGCATTCAGTGCCTACGTGCCCATCTCCCGCATCGACCATGCCCCTCTGAGGGCAAAGCCGTGTCTGCTTTACCCATGTAACCCTTATGCCTTTAACTCACAAGACGGGCTGGAAGCCCAGTGTCGCGTAGGACTCCTTCCACGTCCCGCATGGAGTAGGGTTCAGTATCTGAAAGAGGGGCCACACACAAATGAGAAAGAAAGACACGAGATAATTTTGCAATATCGGGGGATCAGGCGGGCAAGTCCAACTCAAGGAGAGGGACTTCCACCTAAGCTCAGGACACTCCAATCTTTTATTGAGGTCAGGGTAGTCTTTAGGGTAAGGAGGTTTCAATGACACACAGATCAGCAGATAATTTCCAGGAATAGACAAAGTATCTGATTAGCTCATCAGTAGATGATTTCCAGGAATAAGCAGAGTATCTGATCAACAATAATCAACAAGGATCTACACAAGTATCTAAGGAATTAAGTGAACTAAGGTGGGGATGATGCTTTAGCTAGATTAACTGGGTGGTGTCTTAATTAACTGGGTGGTACACAGCCCTGACCTTTGCTAGGACTTTCAAGGGCTACCAGCTTTTGGGGGGTCTCTGTCTAAACTCAGCTAGTGAAGACAATGGACTCCGGCACCCAGAGACACACAAAAGGGACATTTTAGACTGGGTTATTGTCTTTTGGGGCCAAGCAGAGAGACATACCTCAATGAATGGGGAATTTTCAAACTTTTCAAGGTCTGTTCCAGGGAGTTACAATAGCCAAAGTAGCTTTTAAAAAAAAATTGTGGTAAAATATACATACCACAATATCTACCAACTTGATTATATTTAAGTATACAGTTCAGTGGTGTTAGTATAGTCATATTGCATACCATCCATCTCCAGAACTCTTTATCTTGCAAAATTGAAATTCTATACCCATTAAACAATAGCTTTCTTTTTCTCTCTCCTCACCCTGTAACTGCTACTGAACTTTCTCTTTTTATGTATTTAGCTACTGCAGGTGCCTTATGTTTTTGGAGTCATGCAATATTTGTCTTTGTGTAACTAGTTTATTTCATTTAGCATAATGTCTTCAGGGTTCATCTGTGGTGTAGCAGGGGACATGATGTGCTACCTCATAGGAGGGAATTATACTGTGATAAATGCTAATTAGGTTCCATTTGTCTTTTAATATATATACCACATTTAGTTTACTCATTCATCCGTTGATGGACAATTGGGTTGCTTCCACCTTTGTGTTATTGTGAATAATGCTGCTATAAACATGGGTGTATTAATATATCTGTTTGAGACCTTGATGTCAATTTTTTTTCTGGGTATATATACAAAAATGAAACTGCTGGATCATATGATAGTTCCATTTTTAATTTTTGAGGAATCACCATGCTGTTTTTCATAGCTGCTACACCATTTTACATTCTCCCCCAACAGTGCACAAAGGTTCCAATTTTTTCATGTCTTTGCCAACCCACATTATTTTCTGTTTATTTTTTATAGTGGTCATCATTGGAGTAGCTATTTTCAGATATTGCCACTGGGGAGGGTTGTTAACTAATAACTATATTATGTGTGGACTGTGGGGTCAGAGATCAGGATTTGAACCATAGTTCCCCCTTATAGACTGAGTGACCTCAGCAACTTGCTTAAACCTCTCACAGTCTCAGTTTTGCCACCCTATAAGATGAGAGTGATAATACTATCAATTTCACAGGTTGTTATTAAGCTTGAAAAGTGCTTAGCATAGTGCCTGGTGCAGAGTAAGTGCTCAAAAAATAATAGTTATGACTGTTATTACAACCTCAATTATTTTTTAACAATGTAATCAGGATTGAAAACCATTTGAATTCTCTATTAGTGCCTCAAAGAAGAAAGGCTATTGAGAATCTACTCTATAAATACACAGATAAAACCATCTATATTTAAAATTTTTTTTATGACTTACAGCCACTTATAGGTCAGCCAGAGAACTTGGAGCTTACTGTAATAGGAAGCAAGAACCCACTTTTTCTGTGAAGGCAAATGTGATCTTAGTGTGTGGAGTATAATGAATTGCACTTTAAAACTCTCTCTCTCTCTCTCTCTCTCTCTCTCTCTCTCTCTCTCTCTCTCTCTTTTACACTTTCTCTCTCTTTTACACACACACACACACACACACACATTGTGGCAACTAGTGAATGAAAACTGGAATGATATTGGGAATAAATGTTACTAAGCTTGAATCAATAAAAAAGCTGCAGTTAATACTGTTGGAAAGTAAGGAAAGAAAGAAGTACTATATATTTTCAATAAACATAGAAATTAGAGAGAGTTTCTAGTAATTGTAGTGAAAATCCTACACCCATTTAGTCTTCTTTAGCCTGTGTGTAGTTTCTAGGAAACTTGAATAAGTTAGAGGAAGTGGTCTGAAAAACCAGTTATACTATGATAAAGGCTACTTAGGTTCCATTTGTCTTTTAAAAAGTCACTAGAGGCTCAGTGCACAGATTCGTGTATTGGGGCGGGGGTTCCCTCAGCCTAGCCTGTGCCCTCTCTTAATCTAGGATCCTTGGGGATGTCCAACTGCCGGTTTATGCTCGATCCCCACAGGCCGGGCCTAAACCGGCAGTCAGACATCCCCCAAGGGGTGTAGCAGTGCACCAAGTGGCAGGCGGCCAGGGAGGAGCCTGAGCCGGCACTATGCTGCTTGCGTTCATCCTGACCCGCTGTGCCTGCTGCTCTGCTGCGGAGTTGGGAGAGGCTATGGAGTCGGGAGAGGCTCCCACCGCTGCAGCTGTGCTGGCCAGCCATGAGCCTGGCTTCTGGCTGAGCAGCGCTCCCCCTATGGGAGCACACTGACCACCGGGGGCAGCTCCTGCATTGAGTGTCTGACCCCTGGTGGTCAGTGTGCATCATAGTGACTGGTCAACCTGTTGTTCCAGTCATTCAGTCGTAACGGTCACTTAGGCTTTTATATGTATATATAGACTAGTGGCCTGGTACACGAAATTCGTGCAGGGGGGTGGGGTGTTCCTCAGACTGGCCCACACCCTCTGCAATCTGGGACCCCTTTGGGGATGTCCGACTGCCGGTTTAGGCCCGATCCCACAAGGATTGGGCCTAAACTGGCAGTCAGACACCCCTCTCGCAATCTGGGACCGCTGGCTCCTAACCACTCACCTGTCTGCCTGCCTGATCACCCCTAACCACTCTGCCTGCCAGCCTGCTTGCTTCCAACTGCCTCCCTGCCAGCCTTCTCGCCCCCAACTGCCCCCCCTTGCTGGCCTGATCACCCCCAACTGCCCCCCCTCTGGCCTGCTCACCCCCAACTGCCCCCCCTCATTTTACCCTAATCACCTCTTTACAGACCCTATTTCCAAGGGACAGTTACATTCTGAGGTCCTGGACAGTCACATTCTGAGGTCCAAGGACAGTCACATTCTGCTGGCCTGCTCACCCCTAACTGCCCCTCCCTACCGGCCTGATTGCCCCCAACTGGCCCCCCCTGCTGGCCTGCTCATCCCCAACTGCCCTCCCCTCCTGGCCTGATTTCCCCTAACTGCCTCTGCCTTGGCCCCGCCACCATGGCTTTGTCCGGAAGGACTCCTGGTCTAATTAGCATATTATCCTTTTATTAGTAGAGATATCTTAGGAATGAATTCATCTTTTAACTTTTATGTATATTGTACAAATAAAAAGTACAGAAAGTATATGGCTTGATGAGTTTTCATAAAATTAATACACCCTTGTCACCAGCACCCAGGAAAGAAATAAACATTAGCCCCAGCCTGGTGTGGCTCAGTTGGTTGAGTGTTGTCCCATGCAATGAGAGGTCAATGGTTCAATTCCTGGTCAGAGCACATGCCTGGGTTTTGAGCTTGATCCCCAGTAGGGGGCATGCAAGAGGCAGCCGATCAATGTTTCTCTCTCTCTCACCAATGTTTCTCTATCCCTCTCCTTCTCTCTCTAGAATCAATAAAAACTATTAAAAATAAATAAATAAAACATTATCAGCACCAGTTACCACACTTAGCCCTCTAAGACTACCATCTAGACTCTAACCTTATAGATTACTTCTGCTTATTTTGTACTTCATGTAAATGGAATCATGTAGGCACACTCTTTTTTTATCTGGCTCTTTTCCCTCAAGATTATATTAATGAAAACTATAAATATGAAGTTGTAGATAGTTTTATTCTCTTTGCCATATGATATTCCATTGTATGAATATACTTCAATCTCTTTTTCCATTCTGCTTCTTTTTTCTTCTTCTTCTTTTCCCCTGAGTGAGATGGAAAGGCATTGGGAAAATTTGACCAGCAAAGTGATGTTAGCTGACGTATATTTTTAAAACCTCCTCTGGCTATTATATGAATAGATCAAGAAGGCCAAGATTACTGTACAAAGACTACTTATGGAAGCTATTAGAAAATCCAGGAGAAAGATAATGGTGGCTTAAACTAAGGTATATTGGTAGAAGTGGTAAAAAGTGGTCAAATTCTGGGACTATTTTGATGGTAGATTCAACAGGTTTTCCTGATGGATTGAATGAGAGGCACGAGAGAGAAGTTAAGGATGACTCAGGTTTCTGGACAAAGCAAACTGGAAGTATGGTTTGCTCTTAAATGGAAGAGGGATGATGGCTGTGGGGGTTGGGAAATCAGGTACTCAATTTGGGATATTTTTCATACCATTGGACTTAATATGATCATGGAGAAAGAGAGCATAAATGGAAGGAGCCACAGAGTCCTGAGTACTCTGATGTTAAAGGTCAGATTGGTGAGAAGGACCCAGCAATCAGAGATGGATAATGCATCTCCATTAAAGAAGAAAATCAAGAGAGTGTGGAGTCCTAAAAGCCAAGAGGTTATCAAGTTTATTTACTTTTTAAAATTTTTATTTGATTTGCAGAGAGCGAGGAAGGGAGGAGGAGAGGAAGAGAGATAAACATCAATTTGTTGTACCACTTATTTATACATTCATTGGTTGATTCTTGTATGTGCCCTGACCAGGAATTGAACCTACAACCTTGGCATATTAGGATGATGCTCTAACCAACTGACCCACCCATCCATGGCAGGTTATCAAGTTTTAAATGAAGAGTGTTATCAACTGTGTCAAATGCAGTTAATAGGTCAAGTAAAATGAAAATATCTAACATTGAGTTCCCGTTAGATATAGCAACACAACAAGGTCATTGGTAACCTTGATGAGACAAGTTTCTGGAATGTGGAGGTGAATGTTTGATTAGAGTATGTTCTAGAAAGAATGGGAGGAAAGGGTTGGAAGACTATGTATAGTATAGCTCTGGAGGCCAGTAGCCCAGATCAAGGTATCCACAGGGTTCGTTTCTTCTGAGGCCTCTCTCCTTGGCATTAGATGGCCATCTGTGCCCTGTGTCCTCACAGCCCGTCCTCTGTGTGTATCTGTTTTCTGATCTCCTGTTTTTATAAGGATACCAGTCAGATTGGATTAGGGCCACACCATGACCTCATTTTACCCTAATCACCTCTTTACAGACCCTATTTCCAAGGACAGTCACATTCTGAGGTCCTGGGGATTACAACTTCAACAAGAATTTAAAGGGGAGGGGGCACAATTCAGCCCATAGAGGGGCATTTGAGTATTTTCCAGTGTGGGGCTCTTAGGAGTAATGCTGCCACGAACATTTTTGTACATGTTTTAGTGAACACATGTAGACATTTCCATTTCCTGCAATGTACGTGTCCAGGAGTGAAGTTGCTGAATCACAAGGAATGCATATTCAGATTTAGTAAATGCTGCCAAAAGCTTTTCCAAGTGATTGTACCAACTGACAGTCCCTGGACAATTTACTTTTACAGTGGGTGTCACTCATGGAAGAAGACTATAAGAAACACGCCGAAGATTCTGGAATCAGCCTCCCTGAGAATTTCTCTGTTAGTCAGATCTTTGGCAAGGCCATTTCAGCAAGGAAGATCAACCAACCCATGCTTCAGGCGGTTCTCGCTCTCAGAAAGAAGGGTAAGGATCTAATACTGGCCATTTTCTGACCCAACCACACCAGAACCCCTGGTAGATCGTACATCTAAATGTGTTTTGAGGTCACAAATCATCTGGGCCTTGATGGAAAACTGTCCTTAAAACATAGTCCCAAAGTAAGTTATACCAAGTGGCAAAAAGCAGCACTATCAGAATGGCTGGGAAAATGAAAGAATTGAATTTAATAAAGCAACTTTTGCCAGAGACTGCCTTGTGAGCAAAATTCTCTCCCTCTGGTGACATTAGTAATGACCTGAATGACCCAACCTCTTATCACAGTGATGATATAAGGTCTTTTAAACAACTATGATATTTTTTTCAACCTCTGGTTGTCACAGGATGAGCTATGAGTTGGGTGATCTGGATTCAGATGGTGTCAAATGGTCTAAGACCATGGTCGGCAAACTGCGGCTCGAGAGCCACATGTGGCTCTTTGGCCCCTTGAGTGTGGCTCTTCCTAAGCCTTAGGAGTACCCTAATTAAGTTAATAACAATGTACCTACCTATATAGTTTAAGTTTAAAAAATTTGGCTCTCAAAAGAAATTTCAGTCGTTGTACTGTTGATATTTGGCTCTGTGACTAATAAGTTTGCCGGCCACTGGTCTAAGACATGAGATCATGTTCATTCAATGGCGATTTATTTAATGTCAGAGCCCAAATCTTCATGAGCGTATTTGAAATTATTCCACCCACTTATCAGTAGACTTGCCTGACTGTGGCTAAGCCACCCCATATTTTCTCACTCATATCATGTGGGAAGTGTCACACCATCGACTCAGCTGTGTCTCGTCTCCAGTATCTCGGGGTTCTTGCTCCATCTGGTTAGGCAGAGAAAGCCCGGGGGCACTGCTGTCTCTGTTTGCATTTTGAAATGGGAATCAGTCTCTGAAAACCAAAGCAGGTGTTTTGAAATACAGTTGAGCAGATTTTGTAGTAACACAGACTGGAAGGTATACTGGAGGGACAGTCCAGAGGCAGATGCAGCATCTCCATCTGGGCTTCTGAAAGCCCTTAATATACACAGTGGGTTCACTCTCGTGTCCCCGTGTCAGGAGGTGCTTAAGGGTGAAGATGATTCTTTCCCAGCGTCAGGAGATTGATGTAAGTGAGTAGAACCCTACTTGGCTCCAGGCAGAGCTTCTCGGAACAAAGTTCTATAGCTGGTCCATTCACTGGTGACTTCTTGCTCAGGGTTTACAACCTGCATCCTCACCAACAACTGGCTGGATGATAGCACCCAGAGGAGCAGCTTGGCCCAGCTGATGTATGAACTGAGACCACACTTTGACTTCCTGATAGAGTCATGTCGGATTGGAATGGCCAAGCCTGATCCTCAGATCTACAAGTTTATGTTGGACACCTTGAAGGCCAGCCCCAATGAGGTACATAGTAGATGCTTCCTTTCACTGAGAAAGAATGTTCTAGAGATATTGCCAAAAAGAAAAATGGAGGAGGAGTGAGCAGGTTGGGGTTATCTGGGGCCTGGCAGGAAGGTTGTAGGTCCAGTGGCAGGTTCCACTTCTCTCAGGCCAGGTCTTCTAAAGGACTTTTTACCCATCTTTTCTAGAAAATTCTACCAAAGATAAGCATCTGACCCCCCTCTGTGGCTTTTATAGGACCTTGATCAAAATAGGTATTATTGAAAACTTCTAGACCAGCTGCCTCAGTTTACCTGTAAAAACAGGTCAACCCTGAGAGATTTTCCCAAAGCCACAGGCTAGTCAGGGTCACCCCACCAAAGGGTGAGCAGGAATGGGCTCCAATATTGCAATAGTCTTCCAAGCACCCCTGCACCCCTTAATTCTGTCTTTATCCTGTCTCTAGATGATCTATTCTGAAATACTTTTTGCATTGTATTCCCCTACTCTAATTTTAAAAAAGGTGATTGGACCAAGATTAAATTCCTTTCCCTGACATTTCTGACTCTTTCTTATTGGCCCCACCTCACCCACACCTGATCCAGTGAAACCCTGAGCTCCATCATTGGGAATCCTTATCAGGCCCAATGAAACCAGGAAGGTCTTTCTCTAAAACTTTGCTTCTGCTCTCCTCAGTCCCTGGGTTAAGCATTATAACAATGCTCTAAATTTTTGTATGCACATAAGTAAATGTATTTTCATTTAGGGCTTTGGGGTTGAAGGAGCAGCTTACAAGTCCAGGCTTGCTCTAATCCAAGATTATAAATAAATGCACCCATGCTTTCTTCTACTACTCTAAGAACCTCTTACTCCTTTATTTTTATTAAAATTTAAACCTTTGATCCATTCAAAATTTATTTTGAAGTAAGATATGGAGTATCCACTTTTCCCCTCAAACTGGTAAAATCCTATATAATAAAAGGCTAATATGCAAATTGACCAAACAGAGGAACAAACAGTCGCTATGACATGCACTGACCACCAGAGGGCAGATGTTCAATGCAGGAGCTCCCCCACAGGGGAGTGCCGTTCAACTAGAAGCCGGGCCCATGGCTGAGGAGCACATCAGCGGTGGCAGGAGCCTCTCTTGCTTCTGCCTCCGCTGCAGCACTAAGGACATCCCCCGAGGGGTCCTGGACTGTGAGAAGGTGCAGGCTGGGCTAAGGGACCCCCCCCCCCCCCCAGTGCACAAATGTTGTGCACCGGGCCTCTAGTAGCTAAATAATCTTTAAATAATCTTTTTCTTCATCGATTAGACATAACACTTTTATTAGAAGCTAAACTGTAATTTGTATTTGAATCTATTCCTAGACTCTCTTCTATCTCATTGATTATTATTTTTTGGTTCATTTCTTTATTAGTACCAAACTCTACTTTTTAACCTTTTATAGCTTTGTTTTCTTATCTGCATGTATTACAGTTCTTTTCCAGACATACTTTTTTGTCGATTCACATGTGTTGATCTTTCTAGATGAATTTTAATGTCATTTTGATAGTTTATATTCTTCCTTAATCTTCTCACAGCTTCAGAATTCAGGCTGAAATCAGTAGGTGTATGTGGGAACACATATATCTGTGTGTTTATGTGATTCTTCTGTAATTAAATGTTTTTAATTTTAAGAGTATAGTTACATGGAGAGAAAAATCATTCTTTATCTCATTATTGTAAAACTAGTGACCTGTCACGCAAAATTGCCTGAGACCCGGGACCCCCTCCCCCCTGCACCATGGGACTGCCCAAGTCCCAGAGTCCCACCCTGCGTGCTGGCATACTGTGGGATGGCCCTGAGTCCTGGAGTGCCACCCCAATGCCCTGCCTCTGGGCCGCGCGGAGCAGCTGCCGGCCCTGCCCCCGCTGTGCGCACCGCCATCTTGTGACGGTGTTATGGCATGAGGGTCAATTTGCTATTGCTTCTTTATTATATAGGATAGTCACTATTTACAAATTAATGTATTTATTTTGGTGTTGTCTCTCATGCATGAAGTTCACTTTGGTTGAAGTGATGCTAGTGTCCATGCTATTTGGATTCAGGTTGTTTTCTTAGATGACATCGGGGCCAATCTGAAGCCAGCCCGTGATTTAGGAATGGTCACCATCCTCGTCCACGACAGTGACATGGCCCTGCAAGAGCTGGAGAAAGTCACCGGGGTGCAGGTAACTGCACATCTGTGCTGAGTGGGATATCCTGTTTCTTGTCTCTGTTTAGGTACATGAGACAAAACAAGTCAGAGGAGAACCACTGTGGAGGCAGTTCATTGCTCCAGACATGGTTCCCAGGTAGCCCTCCTGGGTGGAAGTTCATTACCCATTGTGCAAGCATCATGGAGTCCTTGAAGAACACCTTGTTGCTTTCTCTGCAGTCAATGGACAGAGAAACGATGCTCTGAGAGCAAGAATCTGTACTAGTCAGAGTCAGGGGAACCAAGACAAGAGTGGGGCTTTCAAAGCCACCCCGTTTTACTCTTTAGAGTGAATATTGAAAATCTAGCTGCTAGGTCTGCCCCAGTGGGGGTAGGGAACCCAGCCCTTACCTTGTGTGCCAGGTCATGCCACTGGCACTCGGGTGTAGTTGTTTGGTTCCTCCTGGTTTACGCCCTCATGCCAATCTGAAGGAAGGCTTTTATGTAAAATCTGTCCCTCACACTGAGGACAGGATGTTCTTAATCACCCCCTGGGGGCTGCCTGGCCATTAGCCTGCTCTGCCAAAGCTGAGGAACCTTTTGCTCTTTTGACTTTACCTAAGATCACCCATCCCACCAAGTCCAGGAGTGACAGTTACACAAACTTTTAGCATAACGCGGTGCTTTGCTCAGGGTTGTCAGTGTAATGGGAGAGGAGGGAGGAGGGAGCCCATACACTTGATTGTGCTCGATGGATTTCAAAGGCGTCACAACCATTTTCTTAAAGGGAATTGTGTCGTTTCCTCGGGCTACCACAAAGCAGCACAGACTGGGTTTCTCAAACAGTCTCGCTAGGAGGCTGCAAGTCCAAGATTGAGGTGTTGGCAGGTTGGTTTCTTCTGAGGCCTCTCTCCTGGGCTTGTGGATGGCTGCTCTCTCGCTGTGTCTTCACACGGTCTTCCCCTGTGTGTGTGTCCTAGTCTTCTCTACTTATAAGGACACCAGTTAAATGGGATTCTTGCTCCCCTGGGTCCACCCAGGGACCTCATTTAACCTTAATCACCTCTTTAAAGACCTTCTCCCCAAATACAGTCATATTCTGAGGCCCTGAGGGTTAGGATTTCAACAGAAGGAGACACAATTTAGCTCAGAACAATTGCCTTTTTGTCTTTAACAAATAAATAAAAATGTATAGCTAATGACTTCATAACTTTAAAACATCTGGCACAAGCATATTGAGTCCTTCTACAAGCCTGGAAGTCTCACCCAGCAGAGCAGAAAGCGCCCAGACTTGGGACAGAGCATCCACCTGTTTGTCCCATTTACGAGGTTTGCCCCCTCATCGCATCTGAGCCATAGATTCCTGTTTTGTAAAATTGGGAAAGGAAGGCGTGTCTCACCCACTTTCTCCTCAGGGGGGTGGGGAAGATACAAGGAAAAATGGAAATCAGTCCCTTCTGAACAGAGACATGCCTCTTATCTCTCAGGAAGGCTGTGGGACTCAGTCATGAACAGGCTTGTAAATTGTACAAACACATGGGAGAACCATTAGAGTAGGAACCCCCACCCTTTCCACCGTGGAAGCAGTGGGGCATCACTGGTGAGTGACTAGGAAGCTGGGAACACATCAAAAGAAGGTCCCCAAGGGACACTGGCCACAGTGGTCCATGTCTTGGCTCCTCTGGCCAGACAAGGCTCATTGCCATCAGAGGGCACCACACTGCCCACCCCCTGCCCCATCCCCACTGCCATACCCCAGGTCCTCTCTAGACACCACAGAGGTGGAGGGCTCACCCTGGGTCCCGCTCTGAGGACACCTATGCAGACTCTCCCATGTTTAAAAGGGAGGTGGATTCCACAGACTGTTTCCCCCATTTTAGAGGTGAGAATACTGCATGGCCGTGGAGTGCTTCTTCCTCAGGTTGCACCTTTGGGACTAAAGATGAGAAATTGAGCAGCAGAAGTCACTAACATGTTGCTCCGTTCATGTACACGTGCTCATCGTCCTTTGTCATCTCTGTCTCCAGGAAACTGACACCAATAAGTTATAGAAACCCCAAGAACACTTTGTTCAGGAATTTACCTGAATACTGTAAAGAGGTGGGTTATCTGAACCCCTAGGACTCCAGAGGACAGAAAGTGGCGTGCAGGCAGAAGACTATCAGCTGAATTGTATCCATATGTTGAAACCCTAAGCCCCAGAACCTCAAAATGTGACTGTACTTATAGGTGGAGCCTTTAAATATGTTTATTTCCATTGTTTTTTTTTATTTTATAGAGGAAAGGAGGGGGAGAGAGAGAGACATCAATGTGAAAGAGAAATCTCGATCAGCTGCCTCCTGCATGCCCCACACTGGGGATCAAGCCCACAACCTGGGGATGTGTCCTGTGTGGGAATTGAACCGATGACCTTTTGGTGCATGGGATGACCCTCAACCAATGGAGCCACACCAGCCATAGATGGGGTCTTTAAAGAACGAATTAAGCCAAAACCGGTTTGGCTCAGTGGATAGAGCGTCGGCCTGCAGACTGAAACGTCCCAGGTTCGATTCTGGTCAAGGGCATGTACCTGGGTTGCGGGCACATCCCCAGTAGGAGATGTGCAGGAGGCAGCTGATCGATGTTTCTCTCCCATCGATGTTTCTAACTCTCTATCTCTCTCCCTTCCTCTCTGTAAAAAATCAATAAAATATATTTAAAAAAAAAAAAGAACGAATTAAAGTGAAATGAGGTCATTAGGATGGACCCTAATCCAATATGGCTCTTATCCTTATAAGAAGAGGAAATTAGGACAGACACACACAGAGGGAAGGCCATGAGGACACAGCAAGCAGGTAGCCATCTACAAGCTAAGAAGAGAGGCCTCAGGAGGAACCAACCCTGCCAACACCTTGATTTAGGATTTCTAGCTTTGAAAATAGTGAGAAAATAAATTTCTGTTGATTCAGTCACCCAGTCTATGGTCCATTGTTATGGCAACCCTAGCAGACCAACAAAGGCACAGAGAGTTTTGTTTTGGCTGAGTTGGAGGAGAAACCCTTCAACAGAGCCATAGAGCCATACCATGGTGGTACGACTGGTGTTCTGGGAAATCTGTGTTCCTGGCGGTATTCAACATGAGCTTGGGTGACCCCTTGAGGAACTGCCCTAGAGAAGAATTATACTAAAGCCCAACATCTCAGTGTTTTAGAGCAAGTGGTATTTATTTCTTGCTTATGTAAAAGCAGTTGATGGCAGCCAGGGACTTGGCTTTGCCCAGCTATTCAAGGATCTGGTTGATGGAGGACCCACCATCTTCCATCTGTGGTTTCCGAGTTCACATCGGAAACTCAACTGGGAAATCAGGAAAAGAGGACGTAGAGGATCAGGTGGGGATTTTCATGGGCTAGGCCGACAGACCATACTCTTCTGTCTGCATTTCATCGGTCAGAACTCAGCCAGGGGCCTCCACGGAACTGAAAGGAAGGAGAAGAAATGACGTCCAGTTGTGCTCTAATCAAACAGAGGCAGTCTGAATCCTGGCTTTGGCATTTTCTCAGATGGCAAATTTAGGTACATTTCTTATTGCTCTGAATCTCAGTGTTCACAGCTTTATAATGAGATGGTGGTGCCGCAGGAGAGGAGGATGGGTTGGTCAGTCCCTGATGGAGGCTGTGGGAGGTGAGCTCGCTGGAGTTTTGGGAACTCACTCTGAGAACCCCTCATGGAAGGAAGCAGAAGACGCCTCTCTCACTGTACCTCTCACTGTGTACCTTCTACTTTCAGCTTCTCAAAACAGAAGTCGCAGCCCCTCTCCCAATCCCATGCCATCCAAATGACGTGAGCCATGGTTATGTGCCAATCAAGGTAAGTGAACACTCTCCCTCCGTCAGCTGAGTACTCTAACTGGGTCTCCTAAAATGACTCACAGAGACATTTGTTCAATATCAAGGGTAGTGACTAGCCATTGTTTATAGGGAAATCATATCTCCCACAAGCATAATTTCTCAAAAATCAATAGAAGACACGGACCATGTGCAAGCAGCAGTCATAAATGCGGGCAGAGGGGTGCAGCCGACATGGTAAAGTGGGCATTACAGGATGAGTAGGAGTTGAGTGTAAGAAAGTAGTACTGGAAGCTACGGGTCAGAGTCAGTATAGCCCCTCCTATGAACATTTCATAAGGTCCCTTCAGACCTCATCTCTATATTGATGAAGAGTGAGGGGCTCATTGCCTGGGCCTGGGGTCTGGGCTGTAACCTTGTGTCTTCATGAACCCCATGGACAGGCTTATTCTTGTCATCCTCTTGATGCATATCCCACCACTTGCAATAGATTCCTCATTTTGCCTTGAAGAAGGGTGTTCAGAATTGCTTTACTGCCCCTGCCACCACCCAGACTCAAGAGCTGGAGCAGTGAACTCTGGGGAACCCCAGCTGAGCCCAGGCGCAGGGGGTGCTGTTGTGTGCATCTCCCTGGATGCTAATGCAACCCAAACTGGATTGTAATAGATCTTTCCCGTTTTCCAGCTTTAAGGCAATTTTGTTAACATGTCATTTAAAGGATGGGAAAGCACTTTTGCTGAGCTACTCAGCAGAATCAAATACAAAGCAGCAAAATGGGCCTTTAGTTAGGATCCATTTAGAACAGAGGCTGATGAGGATCATTTGAGTGGACATCAGCACTATAACATTTTTCAATATAAGGATTATGGAGTTTAAAGTTAAATTCCCTCCCTTTACCAAGTACTAAAGGCAAGACTGTGGAACATATTCTTTTTTTAATTTTTATTTATTGGCTAGAGGCTGGTGCACAAATTCATGCACTGGTGGGGTCCAGCAGGCCCAGCCCGATGGAGGCCATCAGGGGGCAGGCCAGCTGGGGTAAGGGGTTGTGGGCGGTTTGCCTGCCAGCCCCGCCCCTGATCAGGATGGGGGTGCCCGCTCCGGGGCGGGGCTGGCCAGGGCGAGGGGCTGTAGGTATTCATTCCACTTCAGTCAATTTGCATATTACCCTTTTATTATATAGGATTTGAGAGAGGGAGAGAGAGAAACATTGATTTGTTGTTCCACTTATTTATGCATTCATTGGTTGATTCTTATACATGCCCTGACCACAACCCACAACCTTGGTATATTGGGACAATGCTCTAACTAACTGAGCTACCAGTCTAGTGCAGTGGAACATATTCTTAATAAAAGATTGTAGTTCAAGAATGGGTTTATGAAAAGTCAGCCTAATGTTTTCTTGAGCAAAATAGCTTGTTGGAAATCGTGACCCAAACTTCCAGTTTGGAGCACCGGCTTGGAGAAATCTGGGATGCAGCTAAATGGAATTGTCCTGAATGAATTTCTATAATGTGAAGATTATTTTTCTCATTCATTTCCATTAATAAGTTGGAGATATGTACAATTGGGAAAGATAGGCTATATTTTGACTATATTTTGAATTGCTTTGGTTGGTTAGACCCCACTGTACTAGTCAGAGGAGGCCTAGCACTGTCCCAAACAACCCAGTTTTCAGTGGCTGAATACCAGGTCTGCTTCTTGTACAGCACAGTTCAGTGTGGGTGAGGAGTGGGCTCTCTCCACGCAGTCATTCAAGCACCCAGGCCCTTCCTTCTGCTGGTTCCACCTTCCTCAAGGCCCAATCCATTCAGGTTCAGACAGAAAAAGAGAGGAAGGACCAAGCACGGGAGGGCCTGGATGTAGCACACATTTCTTTCGCTCATATGCCATTGGCCAGAACTCAGTCACATGGCCATACCCACTGCAAAGAAGTGGGGGGAGAGCTGGAAAATGCCACCATGTGCCAGGAGAAGAGCACCGATATTGAGCCCTAGCAGCCGCTGCCACACCCATGTAGCCCGGAAAGGACTAGAAGTTTGTAGCAAACTTGAAAAAAAATTCATATTCAAGATACAAACAGCTTTTAACCAAATAATCCTGGTATTCTGCATGTTAGCATGAATATTACACTCTGCACAAAACTGATCCCCAGTTTTAAATATTGAAAACATGACAAACCACACCAGAAACTCCAATAGTATAAAGGCCTTTTAAGGAAGATGCAAAGTTCTTTTGGTTTTGGGTTTTTTCTCCCCCAACATTATAATCTTCTTTTCAAGCTTCTTATATAAGTTACAGTGAAAGCCACCTGCTTTTATTGCACAGTTTGGCGAGTTGTCCCTTTTCAGACAACTTTCAGCAATGGGGTCTTAGGCTTAGAAATCTTGTCCAAACAAGATCTGGATATATGCTGAAATGGCCTGGATGGTCTGCAGAAGGGGGGTCTGGTTCTGGCTGGCCTGGTGGTGTGGTGACTTCCTGCTCACCTCTCTCTTCCACAGCCCGGGGTGCATCTGCATTTCGTGGAGCTGGGCTCTGGCCCTCCTGTGTGCCTCTGCCATGGATTTCCTGAGAGCTGGTTCTCTTGGAGGTACCAGGTAAGGAAAACTGGGTAAAGGTACCCCAGTCAGGCGAGGCAAGGAGAAAGCCTAATGGTGTGCCCCAGCCCGAATGTCATTAAGAAGCGAAACTTTACAGTGGAGCATTATTGCCCAAGTATGGCTGTGATACCGCAGAAATGTTGGGGCTGGAGATTGCTCCAGATCTCGGAGCTGTGTTAGTCCATATGCCACCTTTGCAGAGTAAAGAAGAAAAAGCAGACTTCTTCAAGACACTTTATGCCATCTCCCGGAAGTCTTTGTAATGATTATAGAAATATACAAGGTCTTTGTTAGGAAAGGTGCTCCCTTAGATGCGGCATTAGATGCAGTGCACAAACCCTACCACCAGTGGTCCATGGCAGCCCTATCCAGGTGGGCTCGTTCCAGCTCCATGGAGATACCTGGTAATGTCAGGTGGCACTTTGGATTGAGCCATTTACAAGACCATGGGGATAGAGGAAGCAAAGAGGGAGTGTCAGCCAAACACTATAAGACTACCCTGTATGTACCTGAGTTGTTTGTTTTCTAGATCCCAGCTCTGGTCCAGGCGGGTTTCCGGGTACTAGCTATGGACATGAAAGGCTATGGAGACTCATCTGCTCCTGATGGTGGGTTAGCTGTTGGTCATGCCTTCTGACTGTTCAAGCTCTCCACTGCTCTGTCTTCCTCTGGTCCCAGGTCAGAGCAGGCAGCCCTTTAAGGGTGCCTGACTTTGTGCCTCCCCATCCTGCAGTGTCCTCGGTCTATGTGGTTCGGGTCCAAGATGTCCCTGCTCCTCCTACTCTGGATGAATATGAGAAGCCCAATAGCCTGTGTCCTGAGGGTGTCTCCTGCTGGTTGGTGGGGATGTAGAGTGTGCAATGACCATCCAGCTCCAGAGCATTTTCATCCTGCAGAACTGGGACTCTGTACCCATTAAATAATAACTCTTCATTCCTCCTTCCCCAAGCCCCTTGCAACGACTCTTTTGCTTTCTGTCTCTATGAAGTTGACTACACTAGGGGCCTCATATAAGTGGATCAAACAGTATTTATCCTTTTGTGAATCGCTCATTTCACTTATGATAATGTCTTCAAGGTTCATTCATGTTGCATCACAATTTCCAATTTCCTTTTTAAGGCTGAATAATATTCCATTGAATGGATATACCACATTTGTTTATCTGTTCATCCATCAATGGACACTTGGGTTGCCTCCACCTTTTGACTATTGTAAATAATACTGCTTTGAACATGGGTGTGCAAATATCTGTTTGAATCCCTCTTTTCAATTCTTTGGGTTATATATCCAGAAGTCAAATTGCTAGGTCATAGGTAATTTATAGGCCCCATTCTTAACCCAGCACTTATGGATCCCAGTGGAAGTCTATCCAAGGATGGGTATCAGGGAGCCTGTGAGCCCCTGAGACCACATGTGGGTTTCTGAGCATTTTTCATTGTTTTAATCAGCTTCAGAGTGGTCTTCAGCCCAAAAATGTTTAAGAACCCTAGGTATGGAGGCAGGAACCTGAAACAGCCAGGTTTGCAGCAAAACTCCTGGTCCCTGTATCAGTTATGCTGTTAGCAGTGTTGGCTTGGTGAGCCAACCCAGGTGTTTAAAACCCTTTTTTTGAGCTGCTTCCCCCAATTTAAATTAAATTGTTCCCCTAGATAAAATGTCTATTCATTATACTGCAATATTCCCTGAATCCTCTAGGCCTAACTTAGTAATATAATTTATCATTCAATCTAGAACACTATTAAAAGTAAAAGAAATACACTATTAATAATAACACATATAAACTGAAACTGGGACTTATGTTCCTACCTGAATTATAACTAATTTTTAAAAATAAAACCATAATTTACACATTAATTATTGTTGAATATTTTGTATAACATGAATTCTAAAGCCAACCATAATAATTTGGAATACAGGCATACCCAGTTCAAATGTTTTGTGTATAAATTTTATATAATTTGTTAATAGGTTTTAAGTAACAAATTATTTTCCCTAAAATTTTGACGCCTTTGTTCCACTACTTTCTAGTTTCCCTGTTGCTACTGAGAAATCCCATGCCATTCTGACCAATAAGCCTTTCTGTGTGACCATTTATTTTTTCTTCTTTACTCTTGACACTTTAGGGTCTTTTCTTTATCTGTTTATTCTAAAATGGTCTGATATTGTGCTATGATATAGGTTTTTTTCATATACTTTGCTGGATACATTTATCTTTCAGTTCTTGGAAATTTTTTGAATCATTTATTTGGTAATTTTTCTTCCTTTTTCTTTTTCCTTTCTGGAATTGCTAATATTGTTAAAATACTCATACTACTCAAAACAATCTACAGATTCAATGCAATCTCTATAGCATTTTTTACAGAAAAAGAAAACACAATTCTGCAATTCATGTGGCTCCACAAAAGACCAATAGTCAAATCAATCAGAGAGAACAAAACTGGAGGACTCACACATCCTGAGTTAAAAATATATTAAATCTACAGTAATCAAAACAGTATGGTACTGGCATAAAGACAGATACACAGACCAATGGAACAGAATATAGAGCCCAGAAATAAAGCCACCCATATACGGCCAACTGCTCTTCAACAAGAGTGCCAAGAACACGCAATAGGGAAAGGATAGTCTTCTCAACAAATAGCGTTGGGAAAACAAAATATTCACATATAAAATAATGAAATTGGACTCTTATCTTACACCTTACCTTACAAAAAAAAATCAACTCACCTGGCCAGCATTGCTCAGTAGTTGAGCATCAACCTATGAACCAGGAAGTCACAGTTCGATTTCGGTCAGGGCACATCCCAGTGTGGAGCATGCAGGAGGCAGCTGATCAATGATTCTCTCTCATCATTGATATTTCTATCTCTCTCCTTCTCCCTTCCTCTCTGAAATCAATAAAAATATATATTTTAAAAATTCAACTCAAAATGGAATAAAATTTAAAAGTAAGAATTGAAACTAAACCTTCTAGCAGAAAACATAGGGGAAAAGCTTCTCCGTAATGATTTCATGGATGTGACACCAAAAGCACAGGCAACAAAAACAAAAGTAAGCAAGTAGACTGCTTCAATCTAAGAATTTAATAAGATTTATTTATTTATTTATTTATTTATTTATTTATTTGTTTTTGGCAAACAGGCCCTTTTAGTTTGTTGGTAATTTTTAATCATGCAAATTATATATAAACTAGAGGCCTGGTGTACAAAAATTTGTGCGCTGGGGGGGCGGTCCCTCAGCCCCGCCTGTGCCCTCTCACAGTCTGGGACCCCTCAGGGGATGTCCACCTGCTGGCTTAGGCCCGCTCCCTGGGGGATTGGGCCTAAGCTGGCAGTCAGACATCCCTCTGGCAGCCCGGGAGCCCTCGGGCAATGTCCACCTACCAGCGGGGAGCAGGCCTAAGCAAGCTACAGTCGGACATCCTTAGCTCTGCTGAGGAGGCAGGAGAGGCTCCCACCACCACCGCTGTAATGGCAGCCGTCAGCCTGGCTTGTGGCTGAGCAGAGCTCCCCCTGTGGGAGCGCACTGACCACCAGGGGGCAGCTCCTGCATTGAGCGTCAGTGTGTGTCATAGTGACCAGTCATTCCCAGTGGTTCTGCTGTTAGGGTCAATTTGCATATTACCCTTTTATTATATAGGCTAGAGGCCTGGTGCATGGGTGGGGGCTGGCTGGTTTTCCCTGAAGGTATCCCAGATAAGGGTGGGGGTCCTGCTGAGGTGCCTGGCCAGCCTGGGTGAGGGGCTAAGGGTCATTTTCAGACTGGCCACACCCCCTTCAGAGTGGGGGTCCCCGCTGGAATGCCTGGCCAGCCTGGGTGAGGGGCTGATGGCTGTTTGCAGGTTGCCCACAGCCCCTTCAGGGTCGGGGGTCCTGCTGGGGTGCCTGGCCAGTCTGGTGAGGGGCTGATGGCTGTTTGCAGGCTGGCCAAGCCCCCCAGTGGGGACCCTCACCCTATTAGGGTGTGGCCAGTCTGGGTGAGTGGCTGATTGCTGTTTGCAGGCTGGCCAAGCTCCCCAGCAGGGACCCTCACCCCATGAGGGTGTGGCCAGCCTGGGTGAGGGGCTGATGGCTGTTTGCAGGCTGGCCACAGCCCCTTCAGGGTGGGGGTCCCCACTGGGGTGCCTGGCCAGCCTGGGTGAGGGGCTGATGGCTGTTTGCAGGCTGGCCACAGCCCCTTCAGGGTGGGGGTCCCCACTGGGGTGCCTGGCCAGCCTGGATTAGGGTCTGAGGGTGAGTGGCTGATGGCTGTTTGCAGGCTCGCCACGGCCCCCAGCCACACAAGCTCCCATTGGAGGCTGGCTGGAAGCAGGTATCTGGGATTTATTTATCTTCTATAATTGAAATTTTGTTGCCTTGAGCGGAGGCCACAGCCGGCCAGGACAGGCGGGAAGCTTGGCTTCCTCCATCACCAGGGCAACCAAGCCTCCTGCTTGCTCTAGCTCTGTGGCTGCTGGCTGCCATTTTGGTTGGGTTAATTTGCATATAGTTGCTCTGATTGGCTGGTGGGCGTGGCTTGGGTGTAACAGAGGTGCGGTCAATTTGCATGTTTCTCTTTTATTAAAGTAGATACATATATATATGTATTTTTTTTAAATTGCAGAAATAGAAGAATATTCCTTGGAAATATTATGCAAGGTAAGAAAAGTCTTTGGATAATATCTGTAATATCTTTTTCATCCTGGAATTTTTACTGTTATAAGACAGAAATGTGGGTACTCATTTAAATCCTAGGGAAACATCATTTCACAGAATTTAGGTGTAAATTCTTACTGAAAGTTGAGATAACATTTCAAAATGATAGCCAATGTTTGCTGTATGGAAGAGGAAACCGAGTCACAGGGAGGGAAAGTCATTGCCTGAGGTCAACAGCCAGTAGAGCCAGGTTTGAACCCTACAATAGCTCCCCCATCCCTCCTCTTAGTCACTCCACCAGATTGTCTTTCCATCCTGGGAATTTTAAAAATCACTATATTTTGGTAAAAGATATTGGTGGCCAGACCTAAGGATTATTGTATGGATTGGTGACTGTAATGGCATTCCTATTCTAAGATGGCCAGAGCACCATGGGGGAGGGGGACCCTCACCTCCGAGCTTGCAGGGGGAGAAAGGGGCAGACCTTCTTAGAACAAAAGCAAAGGCTGGAGGGGTCAAGGGGAAGAAACAGAAAACTGGCAATAATGCTGATTACACTCAAATTATAAAAAGCCACCATCTCAGAGTCACCACTCCTGTGGAGCTCCCCCCCATTCAGCCCCTCATGCAGCCTTTGCATCTCATAAGGGAGCATGGGTAAAAGCTTAATTTCCAGCTAGGGTTGTTTTTCCTTCCTCAATTTCTAAGTCTTTGCTTCCCCCACTCTGCCACTTCTGAGAGGATGCTGGAAAGGGAAGGGAGATAACTCAAAAGCCAGTGAAATGATTGAACATTGTGTTAGTTCGCTCGGGCTGCCATAACAAAGTACTGCAGACTGAGTGCCTAAAGCAACAGCAATTTATTCTCTTGCCATTCCGGAGGCTAGAAGTCTGAGATCAAGGTGTCAGCATGGTTTATTTGAGGCTTCTAGATGAGGCTTGAAGATGGCCATCTTCTCCCTGTGTCTTTACATGGTTTTTCCTCTGTGTGTATCTATGTCCAAATCTCCTCTTCTTTTTTTTAAATGTGTTTTTTAATTGATTTTTTTGAGAGAAAGGAAGGGAGGGAGAGAGAGAGAAACATCAATGAGACATCTATTGGCTGCCTCCTACATACCCACTACTGGGGATTGAGCCTGCATCCCAGGGATGTGCCCTGATGGGGAATTGACCTGGTGACCTCTCATTGAATGGGGTGACGCTCAACCAACGGAGCCACACTGATGGAGCTAACTCTCCTCTTCTTATAAGGACACCAGTCATTGGATTAGGGCTCACCCTAATGACCTCATTTTAACTTTCATCACCTTTTTTAATGACCCTATCTTCAGATACAGTTGCATTCGGAGGTACCAAGGGTTAGGGCTTCAACCTATGAATTTTAGGGAGATAAAATTCAGTCCAAAACAAAGGCTGACACAGTAATTCTAATCTGGAAGTGGCTGAGGTGGGTGGATACAATTTCTGATTTTGTGTTGTGTTTTCTTTCTTAGGACATGGTAACCTTCCTAGATAAGTTGGTAAGTAATAATTTTGAACTGATCTCTTTGGAGAATTCTGTTTGGGTCTGGGCAATTAATACAAGATGTAAGCCTTTCAAGGTGTTAGCTTTTGGAGCCCTCGAGCAGAGTAAGGAAAGGCACACTTTGGGACAGTGGGAGGTGGGTGGTTGACCAGAAGAAGTTACCAAGGCAGAGATGAGTTTATTCTGTTTTTTTGTTTCATGAAAAAGATCTACCAGGGAATAGGATACCTCTGTTTGTTTGAGTAAAGAAGTTTGGAAAATATCCTATTGGCCAATGGTTCTCAACCTGTGGGTCGAAACCCCTTTGGGGGTCAAACGACCCTTTCACAGGGGTCGCCTAAGACCATCAGAAAACACATATATAATTACATATTGTTTTTGTGATTAATCACTATGCTTTAATTATGTTCAATTTGTAACAATGAAAATACATCCTGCATATCAGATATTTACATTACGATTCATAACAGTAGCAAAATTACAGTTATGAAGTAGCAACGAAAATAATTTTATGGTTGGGGGTCACCACAACATGAGGGACTGTATTAAAGGGTCATGGCATTAGGAAGATTGAGAACCACTGATGTACCTGTATCTGCTCGCTGACCAAGGTCCATAGTTTATTGAGGTTGACAGTGGACAGAAGTTTTCATTCCCCTTGAAGTGGTAATGCCTCATACTAACCTTGCCAAGTTACCTGGGTGGCATTTGTCTAAGTTGATCCCGTGGTGACTCCTGCCACTAGCATAACCCTGGTTTCCAGGTGCCTCTGGGGCTTGCTTATGTAGCCATCTCCATGGCTCATGTGGCCCTGCCATTTCTGGTCTCCCTCACCTTGATGGCATGTCAGTGACTGATATAAATGCAATTTTGCTGGTTTTAAAGTTGCAGCATTGCCATGAGTGGGTGCTACAGCTAATAGAAACAAAGATGGCTGTGTCCACAGACATACAATTTGTGAACACTTGGTATGTGGTGCAGATTTGGAAGGTGGACTGTGAATTTTGGCAATGACATTCATATTTGGAAATATTGCTTGAGGTCAACACCAGTCAAGCCATACCCCCGTCACCAGCTGAGCTGTGAACAGGCTTATCCATCTTCTGACATCTCGTGGATTACCACAGTTAACAGTGGAATTACCCATCACAATGCCACAATTAATGTTGCAACTACAATACTTTTTTTAAAAAATGGAGGGTTCACTATGCCCTGAATGTGTTCACTATCTTAAGAAACTTTTTATTATTTTCTGCCACTTCTACTCCATTTATTCTATTCTTAACTAGAGGCCTGTTGCATGAAAAGATTTGTGCAATAGGCCTTCCCTTCCCCTGGCTGCCGGCACCGGTTTTCCTCCGGCACCCGGCACCCAGGCCTTCGCTCCGGCCGGAGCCGCCTTCAGCGCCTTCCCTGCTCTGCTTCGCGCCTATGTATGCAAATTAACCGCCATCTTTGTTGGCGGTTAATTTGCATATCTCATTGATTAGTCAATGGGAGGCGTAGCGAAGGTACGGTCAATTGCCCTGTTTGTCTATTATTAGATTAGATACCACTTACATCTTGATTTACTCATGTAATGAGGGTAATATTTTGAAAATGTTAAAGAGATGTTTTTTCTCCTTTTTGTGGAAAATCATGTTCTTCTGCTCAAGTCCTAGAGTACGAGGGAAGAAAGATGCCACCATGGGAAGGAGAAGGGTGCAGAGTAGGGAATGTCAATGTGAGAGAGGAAGAGGTCTCTGAGGGCCGGTCCTGCTGTCGCAGGCGGGGTGGGAAGAACAAGTTAGCAGCTCAATGACGAAGGTGGCAAAACCCATGTATCTTTATCAGCCTCTCTGGGCTAAAGTGCAGAAAGAGGAAAGCTTTTAGGTAGATTTAGGAGGAAAATGAAAACAGAAGAGGGTTTTTCTTTTCCTGCTTCCTATTTAGGATCCAAGAGGGGTGGCTACTTCTGAGCCAAGTCATAGGCTTGCTGTGGTTAGGGGAAGAGCTACTCTGAGATAATATCGTAAATAAAAATAAAAAGAAATGTAAATTGGCTCTTGTGGGGTCTGGAAAAAGCTAGATTTAAAAAAAAATTCTTAAGGGACCTGGATGTTAGCTGAAAATGGCCAGGGAACTTGCCTTAAAGCAGTGATGGCGAACCTATGACACGTGTGTCAGAGGTGACACGCAAACTCATTTTTTTTGGTTGGTTTTTCTTTGTTAAATGGCATTTAAATATGTAAAATAAATATCAAAAATATAAGTCTTTGTTTCACTATGGTTGCAAATATCAAAAAATTTCTATATGTGACACGGCACCAGAGTTAAGTTAGGGTTTTTCAAAATGCTGACACTCCAAGCTCAAAAGGTTCGCCATCACTGCCTTAAGGGCTGCTCTTCTGGAGGCAAAGTGATCCATGGTGGGGTGCTGCAGGGTGGGCCACCTGGCCTGAAGCTGAAAGGGAGTGATCCCCCAGAGGGAAGTGTAGCTTGTGGAGGAGCAGGGAGAGACATACCACGGGCCCTGTCTGGAGTGAGAGAACACTGATGTCAAGTTCACCAGTCACTGGCCTTCAGGTTGTCTGCCAAGCAAGGTTCCAGGAACCAGGCAGCAAGGGACCAGAGAATCCAGGATTCAGTGGAAGGGCCTGGGCAGTGGCTCTGAGGAGAGAGGGAAGACATTGGAAACACTGGAGAGAAAAAGGCTGAGTGACCTTGAGGCATTGAAATATCACCTCAGCTGCAGGTAACGTGATTAACCTAAATTTGGGTTTTACCCGCCATCCCTTGGGATGAGGGTTCATGAGGATTATCAAGTTAATCCAGGAAATAGAAATGGCGCATTTTAGGATCAGGGGATCCTAAAAACTCTGATATCCAAACCCCACCCCAGACCAATGAAGTCGTAATATTTGGGGATGGGGTTAAGGCATCAATCAATATTTATTAAAACTCCCCAGGCAATATGATGTACATCTACGTTTCAGAACCAGTGACCTTGGATAAGTCATTTGTCTTTTTTAAGTCTCAGTTTTCTCTTCTACAAGTAGAAGTAATGTCTAGTCTCAGAGTTTTTATCCTCATAAAAATGTGTGAAACATGCTTAGCACAGTACCTGGAATTTAATAATCTCTCAGTATATGACAGTTATTTTTTATTAGTTTTGGTCTTGTGTTTTTCTCAAATTGTTTCTTAAGTTTTGTGTTCAAAAGGAGATGGTAAGTTTTTCTCTAGACACTAATACATTTTCTCCATAATTAACTAATTAAGCAAGTATTCATTAGGGAATGTCTCTGTATTAAGTACTATAGGGAAAAGGGTTTAAAAACAGAGAAGACAAGGGTCATTATCTCCAAGAGTTCAACATATAATAGGGAAAGATAATGTAACGCCCATGGCTCCAATATAAAGTATGCTGTATGGTAATGATCTTTATATATAAACGCCTAATATGCAAAGTGTCCCTTGGGAGTTCGACTAACTGGGAGTTTAATCTCTCGCTATGATGTGCACTAACCATCAGGGGGCAGCGCAGAACAAAAGGAGGCCCCTGGCCAGCAGCCGGCAGCCTCTAGGGACCCTACCGTGCATGTATTTTGTGCACTGGGCCTCTAGTGTTAATATAAGTAGCCATGGCATGCAATGGAGGAGAGCACAGTTCATTGTGGTTGGGGTACTTGGAAGACTTCTTAGAGAAAGAGCCTGAACTAACTGGACCTTGTAGAATGAGTAAATCTGAGATGAACATCTCAGTGGAAGACAAAGAGCATGCAGGGAGAAAGAACAACTCCTATAAAGACAAAAGGGATGAAGAAAGTTGATTTCCCCCAGTACTCCAAAAAGCAAGCAATTCATGTCTTGAGAGTTTATTCCACACTCTGTTGTGCACTCGAAACTAATATAAACTTTATTGTATGTCAATTGTAATTGAAAAAATTATTTAAATTAAAAATAAAAAGAAATGTAAATGGCACTTCCAACCCTCACCCCATTCTGGGTGGAACCACATAGTATAAAAAACATAAAGGAAGGTAGAGGTAACTTATGGATGGCCTGGAAATCCAAGGTAAAGAACTTGGACATATTTATCTCTTTTACTAGTTGGGTGCAGAGGTTGTTAGTTGTTATGATCTTCTTGCTTTTGAGTTGAGTTGTACAAATAAAGCATAGTCCTGCTGGGAGTATCCCATGAGACCTATTAGCCTCAAGCCTAGTACAAGGAGTGTACATTTATCAAAATTTGCGTTATGATATATACTGGTCAAAATATAGTTCATTGAGCAGCAGCATTGGCATTGCCTGGGAGTTTGATAGAAATGCACAATCTTAGACACCCACCTCAGATCTATTTGATATAAATCTGAATTTTAACAAGCTCCCCAATGATTGTAATAATCTTAGTTTTCTGTCTCTAAAATGGGCATAATGATTTCCTCATAACACATCTTTATGAGTATTATTTTTGCTTTGGTCAGTCAATTATGTCTTAAAGAAATATAAAATATAAGACAAAATCATTATATACCATGTAGTTACCATTTTCTTTCATGTAGCCCTGGGTTTTCATTTAAAATTATTATTCTTCTGCCTGAAGAAATTCTTTTAACATGTCTTCCAGTAACTAATCTGCCTCTACTGAATTGTTTGGATTCTGTGTCCGAAAAGTCCTTTATTTCACCTTTATTTCTGAAAGGTATTATCAATGGGTATAGAATTCCTGATTGACAGTTGTTGTTTTTCCCAGTATTATCCTCTTTATCTTTGTACCTCCATCCTCTCTCCCTCCCCCTCAGACTCATACTTAAGACAACAATGCAAATAAGAACCCTTCCCTGACTCTTAGCTTCTGTTAACACCATAAACAGGGCATTTATAAAAAAAATTTGGAGCAGTTTATAAGGTTGTATTTGCGAGATTATTAATGTCTATCTGTTCTAGACTTTAAACTCCAAAAAGGCTGTCCTTTTGTTGTTGTTTTTGTTCATTAGTACAACCTCCATGGCTGGCATGGAGTGTGTGCTTAAAATATTGGTTGAATGAGTAAGGGTAGAAATTCTTCAAATTGGATACATTCACCTTGAGCCTCTGCCCTTTTCTACTCTAAGAAAATGCGTTGAAGAGCATGGACAGTCACTTGTATAACCTTCTCTAAATGTCTCCTACAGTAGGGAGGGCAGATACAAATGCCCTCAATTACTAACAGTGAGAGATGAACAAGTACTCACTTGCTCTGCTCCTTGGTCTCTACTTTCCAAATGATTCCTAGAATAACTGCCTCAAAGGGTATGTTTATTTATTCATCCAACCATCCATTCATTCATTTATTCAGTAAATGGCATTTCTCAAGGTGAGGTCCTAGGACCAACTGCATGGAAACCACCTGGCTACTTATTAATGATGTAGCTTCCTAGCTCCTATGAGAAGATTATAAAACTAAAATCTCTTTACATGCAATTTTCATTTTAAAAAGTATTACTAGTGATTCTTATGCACCTTTAAGTTGAGAGCCAATGGGTGTCGTGGGTTGTGATGATTGAACAAGATGCTCTATATAAAGCATTTGGGAGCCATTTTATAGCCCAGAGGCTGGCACATGGTAGGTGCCACACACCAGTCCATCTTTCCATCTACTTAACCATCTGTCTCCCTAACCATCTATCTTCCTCTATCTTTTCTAATATAGTACTTTCATTTCTCCATCTGATTCCATCCTATTCTTCTCTTCTATTTGCTTTTCCCATCTTATCTTAAACTAGAGGCTCAATGCACTAAATTCATGCAAGGGGCTCGGCCCTCACAGCCCCGGCTTCATCTGGAAAGTCATCCAGAAGGACATCTAGAAGGTCGTTCGGCTGTCTGGTCTAATGAGCATCTTACCCTTTTATTATTATAGATATCTTACTCTGCCCAAAACTAACAGGAGGTCCATCACTGAACTAAGTGATGAGAGAAATACAGAAGACAAAGACCTGGTTCTCAGGGAGCTCCTAGCAAAGAGAGGAGATATGGAACTCCACAGCTGTATACAGATGTGTGGGCACATCCTGGCCCATGAGCCTTGACCTGTGCAAATTGCCCCTCCTCTGCTCTTTTCTCCTATCCCAGAAAGCCTAGTTCCAAGCTCCCCCAAATGACTCTAGCTCTGGTCTCAAACTTCTCCATCCTGTGCTTCTTTGTCACTTGGAGATAGACATACTCATTCACCACATCCCACCTGGGCATTCAGAACTTCCTCCTCAGGGTAATCACAAGATAAGATTAATTATGCTAATCAGCCTCTGCAGGCTGACACAATTAACCAGAGCATGAGATAGCTCCAGAAATCTGTATAGGAGCTGCCTACCTGCTGGGTTTAATTTCACCATCCAGCACAGTAATTAGAGGGGAGAGGTGGGTGGTGCGGTGAGAGGAGTTTGCTCTTTTCAACTAAGGAGCACATTGTTCCATCTTCCAGTGGAAGTTGCAGGAAGTTTCCCATGGACTGTCTAAGCCATTTAATTTCCCCTCTTCGGACCTGCCACTGGACATCTTGGGGTTAAGTACCAGCACTGTAGCCATTTTTTCTTGATGGTGGTACAAAATGTGGTACTTGTATTTTGATACATTTTAAAATCCTTTTCACTCCCCTATCTACTCTTAAGCCCCTTTAATATTTTAAATATATATTTTTCTTATTCAAATATAAGAGAAGTTGGCCCTGGCTGGTGTGGCTCAGTTGGTTGGGAATCATCCTATGCACCTAAAGGTTGATGGTTCAATTCCCTGTCAGGGCACATGCCCCTGTTGCGGGTTCAATCCCTGGTTGGGGGTGTGCAGGAGGCGGTTGACCGATGTTTCACTCCCACATCAATGTCTCTCTCTCTCTCTCTCTCTCTCTCTCTCTCTATCTATCTATCTCTCTATCTCTCTCTCTCCCTTTCATGCTAAAAATCAATAAAATATCACGTGTCTTTTTTTTTTTAATAAGAGAAGTTGCAAAAACTTTAGATCAAGCATCCCTAACATGAGAGCATCCCTAATATGAGTTTCAGGGAGTGCTAGTTCTGTAAGTTGCCTTGGGATAAAAGTTTACAGTTCAAGTTTGGGAAGCCCGAATTTCTTTATCCCCTCTTGAAGAGCCGTGATCACCATTAGCATATTAAAACTCTTAAATTCCTGTAACAAAGAAAACATGTTTAACTACAGTTAAATGAAGATTTTCCAAATTTATTTTATCATATATTTTAGTTTTTCTCTCAAAGGTGACCTAAGATAAGGACTTGAGTACAGTTAGTTTGTTGAGAGACAATTCAAAAAACAAAAGTGAGGGGATGGGAAAAGTGAGGCAAGTTAGGAAAGAAAGACAATCAAGAGGTATTAATGAACTCATTACCGCTATAAACAATCGGGAGTTAGTTTTGCTAAGAACTCTCTAAAGATTCATGTAGAATGGACCACAGAGTTGTCATGCTTGAGGATAGAAAAGATTCGGCATTCATCCACTGCCTCACATCCCTTATTGTTTGGGGGTTGCTCTAAGGGACTTTAACCTTTGTGTACTACTGAGTTCATCAGTTGATAAGCCTTCTCCAGCTTTGGAAAAGCAGACTGGAGAGATTCCCTGACTCAATATGGCAGCGGTTCTCAACCTGTGGGTCGCGACCCCTTTGGGGGTCGAACGACCCTTTCACAGGGGTCGCCTAAGACCATCGGAAAACACATATATAATTACATATTGTTTTTGTGATTAATCACTATGCTTTAATTATGTTCAACTTGTAACAATGAAAATACATCCTGCATATCAGATATTTACATTAGGATTCATAACAGTAGCAAAATTACAGTTATGCAGTAGCAGCGAAAATAATTTTATGGTTGGGGGTCACCACAACATGAGGAACTGTATTAAAGGGTCGTGGCATTAGGAAGGTTGAGAACCACTGCTATAGGCTAATGTTTCACAACTTTTTAAAACTTACATTTCTTTTGAAATGTCTAAAATCAAATGCCTTCAGTTAACATTATTTGGAATGTCAAACTCAAAACAAATCAACAAGGGTGACCTGCAAATATGCTTTTGCAGAGCACACGTACTATTCCTGAGATAATAACTCAGTGACAGCCTCCTGCCATCCTCAGTTAGGCCATGGTGAGAAATGAAAACAGGGGAGGGGCAGCTAAGAGAGCCTCAACGCAGTGGGATTTATCACTTGTTAAGCGGTGTGAGAGTCAAGGGAAGAATCTGATATGACTAATGAGTTCCAGTACCACAACCAGGCAGGGTTCCAGACACTAGTAAATGAGGCCAAAATGTCATGGTCCCTGACCTCTGCAGATTTCAGTCCTGCGGAATTGCCACTGGAACTTCTGAGTATGCTGGGGACATCTAAGTGGACACCGCCCAGTGTGGCCGCCCCAGGCCTGATGCTATAATGACCTTACATGGCGTGATCAGTGGAGGGGTCCCTAGGAAGTGAATGAGAGAATTGCATCTGAGGGTTGGGCTCAGGGGAGAGCACAAGGCCTGGGGCTCTCAGCACCTCACCCCGGAAACCTGCCCACATTCACCTCCCTTCTTTATCCTTTGCTAGGGCATCCTCCAAGCGGTGTTCATTGGCCACGACTGGGGTGGCATGCTGGTGTGGAGTATGGCTCTCTTCTACCCTGAGAGAGTGAGGTAATTAGGCTGTGAGCAATGAGAATTTGGGTAAGACTGGAGCTGAATTCCCATTAGAATCCTTCCTTGAGTCTCAAACCCCAGAAAATGTCTGGAAAACAAATAGGTTATCTGGAAAGGTAGCACCTCAGCTCCTTCATGCCCATTGACACATGAACAAGGAGGGCTTAATGAGCTAATGTCTTAGAAAGTGAGGCCTGTCCCAGTTACTGGTGGTGGGACAGATAATTCAGGGACAGTACTCAGTGGGCATGCAGGAGAAGGATGGTAGACCCTGAGGGGAGCGGGAAGGCAGCAGGGGTGTTGGGCTTATAGAATTAAGCATCAGGAGAGACGTCAGTCCTGGACAGGGAGTCAGAAAATGTGGCTTCCAGTTTTGCCCTGAATTGGCTGTGTGACAAGTCACTTCGTTAGGCCTTGTGTCCTCAACCACAAAGCGGCAACCTGACTACCCAACCTGCAATGTGCTGCACAGATGTCAGGTTAGAAAGGCATTTCATGATCGTCGTCACATCATTCCCGATTGTCCTTAGAATGGCATTTCAGAGCTGCAGCAGGAGCTTTCAGATGGTGGGTTTCGAACCCAGAGAGGCGGGTGGTTTTTTGCAGCCACACTCCTTTTGAGCTGGCAACCAAAATTAAAACTTGTCCGACCTCCTGTTTCAGCCTGGAATCTTAGCAGGTTCAATAAGCATTATCCTTACTGGCCACCTGGTTTCCCTAACGAATCTAGTTCCTTTTTATTTGGCTAAGTTTATAAGAACGGAAACACAGGAGAACTAGGTTCAGCTCAACCCCAGCTCAAATGGTAGAGTGGGATCAAAGACTAAGAAAAAGCAAACATTTTCTAAAATATTTATAATTTGTTCACACTCTTGCTTTTCTGATCTCTTTAGCTTCTCTCTCTGTCCTCTTCCTCATTCAAAGGCAAAATAAGAGCTCAGTTCTTAACCATTGGATTCACCAAAAAGTTTCTCTACCTACTGGGCTAGATGCCAAGTTCAGATTCGCACCAGGTCTTCCATGACACCCAGATCCAGAAATGTTTTATCCTGAGAGCCCACGGCATTTTGTGCTGTTCTCACACTTATCTCACAGTCTATCTCATAATAAAGCCATGGGTGTATTTGTCTAGTTTTCCTTATTAAGTTATAATAAGCTCCTTGAATACTGATTTTATATTTTTTTCTCCCCTAGTATATAGCATGGAATTACACTCAACACAGGAGAGACACAGTGAGTGAAGGAAGGAAGGAAGGAAAACAATGCTAAAAATTAGGGAGAAATTGCAGTGTTCACATATTCTGGTCAAGGTTGATACACTAGATGTAGTTGTGTGTGTGCTCTGTCTGTCTTCATCTAAGGCAAGTGAGAAATACTGCAGTTTA